GGGCAGGACCAGAAGCAGGAGCCGCGGGCGCCCCGCAAGGGGCTTGAGGAGCCGCAGCCGCAGCCCCCGCCGCGGCCGGAGCCGCAGCCCCCTGCGCAGCCCCATTCGGCGGCGGACAAACCCCAGCCGCAGCCCTGGCCGCAGCCCCCGCCGCAGCCGCAGCCGCAGCCGCAGCCCCCTGCGCAGCCCCATTCGGCGGCGGACAAACCCCAGCCGCAGCCCCCGCCGCAGCCGCAGCCCCCTGCGCAGCCCCGTTCGGCGGCGGACAAACCCCAGCCGCAGCCCCCGCCGCAGCCGCAGCCCCCTGCGCAGCCCCGTTCGGCGGCGGACAAACCCCAGCCGCAGCCCTGGCCGCAGCCCCCGCCGCAGCCCCCGCCGATTGGGGACGATTCCCAGCCGTGACGACAGCCCCCCGAGGCGCCACGTGCCTGTCCTTGGCCCAAAGGTCCCGGTTGGGGGGAAGAGGCCCGCCCAGGCAGCAGGGGTGCGGTCAGAGGCCGAGCAGGATGATCCAAGGGACCGGGGCCGAGGCGAGCGCGAACGCGAACGCGAACGCGAGCGTGAACGCGAACGGGAGCGGGAGCGCCGGCAGCAGTCCCCCCTCGCGCCGCGCCCGGGACGGCGCCGGCCCAGCCGCTCGCGGTCGCCCGCCGGCGGCGACAGCGGCCGCGGCGGCGGCGGCGGCGGTGGGGGCCGGGGAATTGCAGCGCACCGGCAGAACGGCGGGGTGGCTGTGGGAGGTGACAGGGCCGGCACTCGTGGAGGCGGGGGCTCAGGCGAAGCTGGCAAGGACGGTCAAGAGGCAGCGCACAAACAGCAGGCGCCTGCCACGGTCACGGTGGGTGCCCCAGCGGCCGCGGCCGCTGTGCAACCCCTGGATTCCAGGCAGCAGCAGCAGCAGAAGCAGCAGGCCGAGCAGCCTCTTAGGCAGGCACCCCAGCGGCCAACGACGCCGCCGCCGCCAGGTCCCCGCCAGCCCCCGCAGCGGCCAGCGCCTGTGGCGGCTGCTGCAGCTGCAGCTCCCCC